TCTGGCGACCAGAGGAGATTTAGGTAACATTTTCATAAGTGTTGAGTTAAAATTTCAGATTATCAGTGTATTAGATGTGGCGATCTCTGATCGTAAGGGTCAGATCGCTGAACTAAAATTGTAGTTATTACCTGACACTGCAACGATCCAAAAAAATGTGCAGGCCGATCACACAGAGGGGACTGAACCAATTTCACAGTATCATATCAGATGGGATTTTATTTTAGATAACGATTTAATCGTAAGTGATAAATTTAGCAAATTTTATGGATGTTTTCGAATCTGTTTATATTCCACCATTTCCAGAGAAAATGTATGTTGTGCGTTTTGACCATTCTAATAATATTAATTGGTTCGATGACAATTTGCGGGCTATGAGGCAACAACTTCTGCTACTTTCCGAATTGTTTAGGCAATACAGCAGTAATATTCTCTTTAAACATCAATACAAAGAATATAAAAAACTTTATCGAACTACAATAAGTAAAGCTAAGTAATAGTTTGATACGTTCATCAATTAACAACACCAAATGCATGTGGGATATTATAAATAAAAATAAAACAATCCGTAAAGGAAAGCCCTCATCAGATATCATAACTGCTGATGAATTCAACACTTATTTTGCAAATATAACTCGGTCTCTTGTAAGTCAGGGTACTGCGTCCAATATAGATCCAATTCCATATCAAATCACAAATATTCTCAAAAATAAAAGTAGTCCAGACGTATTTAGCATAAGCACGCGGTTAATAAAGTGTGTCACGAATGAATTATATGTTACACCTCTTCTATGAAATCAATATACGTAGTCCCCCTTCTAGTCGCTAGGTGGCCCTACAACTTTAAAGCAGAGCCAAAAAACTGTGGAATAACTTACCATACATTGTATACTCGCCAACTATGGTCTTAACCTCATTCCTCTTTTTGTGTTTTGGTGGCACATGTTCATTTTTATTCGGCGTCCGTTTTTTCAGCTTTTTTTCAGCGTTTTTTGTTAGAAATGAGGAAGTACAAGCGAGATTTACCTTCTCCCTCATCGGATGAAGTAAAAATCTACCTGCTTCGAAAGATTGCATCTTTCCGTCGGCGATTACGTAATCGCTAGTGGCGTGGTTCCCGATCAACGAGATTTTCTCAAACTTACCAAAACGGATTGCTTTTATTGAAACTTGTCATTTTAAACTTGAAGATAGAAGTCCTTTATGGCCACTCTGAACTTGAAAGAAGCGTACTTTCTAGTCCCAATAATTTAAAATCAAAAGAAATACTTAAGATTTTATTTTCTGTCTGTTATCAGTTTAACGTGTTACCCTTTGGTTTATGCAGAGCACCGTGGCTCTTTACAAAATTAATGAAACCAGTAGCTTCTTATCTCCGTGCCAAGGGTTTCCTTTGAATTATTTATTTAGATGACTTTTTACTACTTGGTAATAGTTATGATTCCTGCTTAAGAAATGTTCAAGTAACTTGCAACCCCCTGATTAGTTTGGGTTTTGTTATTAATTACGAGAAGAGTGTTTTACATCGTTCAAAAATCCTGTAAATTTTTAGGTTTTGTTTTTGACTATTATCACTTGTCTTCAAGTATCTCAAAAGATAAATCGGATCGAGTAAGTAATATGATAAGTCAGTTGTGCTAGTGTGGTGTGCTAGTTTTAATTTGTCCAGCAGTTTCTTACAGTTGGGTATACACTAAGAATTTTGAGAGAATCAAATATCCAGCCCTTCAAGACTCTGACGACAGTTATCATAAATGGATGATAGATAATTCGTGGTAATTTACGGAAGGATTTTCTGTAGTGACCAAAAAGTTTACAGAATCCTGCATTTCCTATAACGCAACATTGTTACCAACTTGAGATTTTCTCAGATGCTACTCCTTTGGATTGGGGAATTGTATGCCAAGGAAATTGTGCCAGAGGACTTTTAATCCCTACGGAAGCTCGGTTTCATATTAATGCACTAGAATTAACTGCGGCCTTCTTTGGTCTCCAATACTTCGCTTCCCATTTGAGCAACTGCGAGATACTTTTGAGGATTGATAACACAACTGCTATTTCATATTTAAATAGAACAAGGGAAGTAAAATTTCCTGTTTTAAACTAAATTTCGAGGCGCCGTTGGGGTTGGTGCGAAGAAAGGAGGTTGTGCGTTAAAGTATCTTACATTAGCTCTTCCGACAATTTTGAAGTGGATGAGGAATCCAGGAATTTGAATTTTGATGATGAATGGAATGCTAAAATAACAAATAAATTTGGATTCCAAAAAATCGACGAAAGTTTTACGAAAAATACAGGCTGGCACAGCTAGCCGTGGTTTCCTATGTTTAATGGGATGCGATGTAGCCAATTATTATTTCTAAACCCAGACAAACAACTACTTTCTTCTTTTGACCGGAGAGCTCCACTTTGTAAATATTCCCTAAGGTTCCCTAGATATTTTCCTATCATTTGTTCGGAGCGCTACCTTGAGGTAATATAATAATGCATATATACTTTGGTTAGCTTCTGCAAAAGAAGGGGAGTGGATTGTTATTCCTTCTCACCTAATCCTGTATTAGGTTTATTTTATTTTTGGATCAAAAATAATGAACAATGTAAATCTAACTAGGTTTCTTATAGGTGTGTATATTCAAAGGCCAAGTAAACCAAAATATGACAGCCCTTGGGACCCTAATTGTGTCCTTGACTTTGTAAGAGGCTTACCTTCTAATGACTTGCTGTCATTAAAACAATTAACTGTTAAACCAGTTTTATTACTTGTGCTAAAGACTGTCCACAGAGTCCAAACGCTCTCTCTTATAGATTTGCCCAACATAAAATCATTCCAGATAGATTAGAAATTAAAATAAGGAATCAAATTAAGACTTCAGCTATAAACCTGTTTTAATTTTGCATAAATATGAGGATGTTAATCTGTGTGTGGTTTAAATTATTCTGTTTTATATTGAGACGACCAGTGCTTTAAGATTGAGTGAATCTCGTTTACCTATTACATTTAAAAAGCCTTATATTGCTAGCATAAGCGGGTGGATAAAGATAGGTTTAGAGAAGAGTGGTTTGGACACATCGATCTATTTCCACTGCTCACAGCACTCGACATGCCTCAACATCGTCTGCGTTTAGTAAAGCTGTTTCGATTGATATGATTCGAAAAACGGCAGGTTGGTCAGAACGCTCTAAATGTTTTTCTCTTTTCTATAATACACCTATTTGTACAGCCGGTGCAGGCTCTTTTGATATTGCCACATTTGCGACTTAGAATTTATTTTTCAGAATGTGTGTGTTTTCTCGGACAGTCATTTATTTTGTATTTGTAATAGAGGCTTTCATAAGCTTTATGAAATTTAGATTTGATTTCATGATGATCAAATGAACTTATCTGGTAAGTGAAGTTCGATCGTATTTATATGATACACCTCTTCGTAAAAATTAGCCCTTCCCGCCTAATGTACTGTTCTGAACAGTACTAAAATGCAAATTTATTATAAACGTGCCTTAAAATAGAATGAGGTTAAGACCATAGTTGGCGAGTATACCATGTATGGTAAGTTATTCCACAGTTGTTGCATCTGGTTTAAAGCTGTGGTGCCACCTAGCGACTAGAAGGGGGACTACGTATATTGATTTCCGCGAAGAGGTGTAACAAAGAATTCGATCGAACTTCACTTACCACTTACCAGGTAAGTCCGTTTGATCATCGAAATATTACTCCCTCTCACAAAACTTATAAGTTTAAGTATTCAAACCAACACTTTTCCAGACAGTTAAAAAAAAACTCTAGTAATATCAGTATTTAAAAAAGGTAACCCTGATGTTGTTGTTTCAAAAATTGTAGAGAAATGTATAGCTAAACAATTAGTTCAATCTTTTGAATTTAATTGTTACGGAATTACGGATGCATTCCAGAATTGGGAATATAAGACTGTATATTAGTTTGTGATCTCACTAAAGCCTGACTGTGTCGATCATGGAATTCTTCTGCGCAAGTTAAGGGCTTATAATTTTTCAAATAGCACTCTTAGTTTGATGCAATCTTACCTTAACAATATTTGCCAGGTGATTAAGTACTCTGGAGTGAGGTGAACAATGGAGTGCCCAAAGGCTGAATTTTGGGCCCCATATTATATTTCATGTATAAAAATGACCTTCCTCTTGTGTCTGTTTCTATCTATTACTTATAAAGAAGAAACCGCATCTATTTACCACTTTTAAGGAAATGCATGACCATCAAACCAGAGGTCGGGACAATGTGGTTACTACTTACTGCCGTTTAGGGAGGTGTCAGACTGATCCAAATTGTTGATGCATTAAGTTTTTTAATGCGCTTCCAAATGCTGTTAGTAATTTACCATTTGAAATGTATAAACAAACAGTCAAACGATTTTTAAATATTCAAAATATTTCAATTATAAGGTACCAGGTGTATTTTATGTATATGTTATTTTATTCCTCTTTGTTTGACGTATGTAAATCATCTGTGATAGTAACATTAATAGAGTATTCAGTATTCAGTAAGTTCTCTATATCTGAGCCTATTATCGCCACACATACCAACAAATCTATATGGCTGTAAAGAGCACTATCGAGATTTATGACTAAAACGAAACGTCATAAATAAAATTTTTCAGCGCTTGTAGAGCTCGAAAATTGGCAACTAGAAAGTGAACTTTATTATTTCATGTCTTTAAATAACACCAGAGAAAAACTAAAACTAAATAGGCAAATTCCTTTTTGTTGGCGTATTTTCATAGGAATTTTTGGTTTTCTTAACAGCACGTTATTGACCTTTAATTTTTGTGGACTTTTTCTTATTTCACCACATGATCGACATCCTTATCTTGTATACTCTGGATAACAAACTACCCCCTGGTTTAAACAAGCGACCACGAGTTTTTCGTATTTGCTTTGTAACATCCTCTATAAAGGTAACGAGAAAGCAATATTGCACTCACTCGCCGGGGTGTGTAGATTTTGTTTGATGCGATAAAATGTTAATGTTACTTTCGAGATATATTTGAATTTACAGTTACATATTTCTTTAAAGTATCGATCACTTTGTCGTACAAAAGCTCCTTCACGTCTATAGCCCACAAAAAGTCGAGATGATTGAATGAAGCGTACTGGATGAGGATTGCTTCTTTCAGGTCAGGCAGTTCAGATATCAATTGCTCCACGTTCTGTAAAAACACATAGGAGCACATTTCTAGGTTACACTATAGAAGCTAAACACTTACTATTGTGGCAGCGAAGGCATCATTTTGTGCATAAAATATTGCCATGGGCGCGGATATCTTGCTGGTATTATAAGATGGCGGGGTAAACTGTCCGTAATGTAAAATATTTGCGAGTCCGTAGTCGTACTTTTGAAAGCGCGCTGCAAGACCAGAGTTCTTTCTAGTTAATTTTTTTAGATGGTGCAGATGGAATCTGTGATTTAAATCAGAGTATGAGAGTACAGGGTAGCTTACTTTTATACATTCGGAAGAGTTATAGACACATTTTAAATGCAAAACTTGTTACTGCATAGAATGAAAATGTCTCGTTAGTAATTCAGTTTCCTTACTTTAAATGACTACCCTGTATATTATTTAATTTTTGGATTTGTAAGAAAATTTCATCGCGGCTTCTTAGATATGTAACATTTTGGAAGATATAATCGTTTTTATGGTAAACAGAAACACAGGAATCGACTTTTCGAAATTGATGTTGAATATTTATTTGTCTCTTGCAGGCTGCTGAAAATTTAACCAATTAAATCATTTTAAGAGCTGCAAAACTTCGTTTTTTTTAACACGATAACCTGGATTGACCAATTCTTTTTTTATAGCTATTTCCAACGGCCAAACTTCGTGGTCTGTATTACATAGACGTAGTATTGTATCCATGATGATTGTCAAGGGCCCAGAGAGTGGCAGGTGGATGAATGGTCAACTAGGTGCCTGTGCTTTAGTTAACCAACTACTTTTATAATCTATGACCTTAATATATAAAATTGCAATTATAGTTAGGTACTACCTCTCAGGTGCGTTCTTGAAAACGGCTCGAGTTTCCACATTTCTTGCTAAGAAACGGATTATGTTCGGACTTTGAAAAAAAGGATGAAATAATTGCCATCAGAAGAATGTCCGAAATGAAAAAGAATGATTTTAAGAATACAGGTAATAACAGGTAACATGAATCAATTACAGGAAATATTAAATATAAATCATATTAAATATTTACAAGGGACTTAAAAAGTAATCTACAAATCTAAAAAAAAAGAAAGAAGAAAAAAAAAAAGATTAGACTTGTCAGTACAGATAACCCGACGTCAATCGACGTTGCCTAAGTATTGCCTGGAGACCATCATAATATAACTCACAGTTTGTTGAAGGTAACACACATATTGCAAATAGGGTTTTGAAAATGGATATTGGATCTGGTTAACTGCGGTAAGAAAGTGAAAACGTAATTGTTCCAGAAGAAACGGACAATAGATTCCGTAATGAACTAACTTGTAAAGAAATGATACAGATTGCAAGTCTCTGAGTAAGCTCGGAGGCATTACAGCGAACCGTTTCAGTAGAAGATCATGATCAACTCTTCTCTCAGGATAGGAACCCTCTTCCCTAAACATTACATACTTCAGTAACCTTTGCATACTCTCAATGGACTGGGCGTGGCATATTGGTGACCATACCACCGAGCCATAGTTAGCTTTGGACCTAACGTAACAGTTAAATAACAATTTAATAGGAGCTGAGCTACAAAAATGCCTGCAATTTCTTATTACGAATCTTAAAATTTGCATTTCACTGGAAACCATTTTAGTAATGTGAGGTACAAATAAAATCTCCAGATCCTTTGCAGTGGCAAATCTAGTCAGGATAGTACCACCCATACTGTAATTAACGACTATAAGAGTTTTTGTCCCGTGATAAGAAACCACATTGCATTTTTTTTTCAAAGAAACTTCCACAGGCTACTGTAATGCTTTTTACAAAACTTCTGGGTTCCTCCTGCGTCGGTTTTTGCTTAGTCGAAATTGCTGACGTTTCGCCAATCATCCTGTTGGCTTCTTCAGAGCTTGACTGAAAATGGATCGTATTTTACTCTGTACCTGCTTATTTATTGCTTGAGGGGGGGAGGCGCTAATGAGGGGTATAAACACCATCTCGGATGACTGATTCCCAAATTGGGGACAGGTAGAGACCTGAGTCGCGATTAAGATTGTTAGGTTGTTTATAGATTTCAATAGACTCTCGGATTTTTCGTTGGTAGAAGAACTGATTACATGCAAGAATTTTAGTTTTATAAAATAAAACTTTATGCCCGGTTTCATGAGTATGTTCGGCAACAGCTGATGAGTTTATCTGTCTTAGTCGTAAGGCTCTTTTGTGTTCTTTGAGCCTAGTTGATATTTTTCATCCGGTCTCTCCAATGTATTCTTTGCCGCATATGCATGGAGATTTTTGGACAAGTGGTAAATATGGTTTTGACGTTATACTTCTTTAGAACTTTTGATGTATGGTCAGTCATGTCTTGAATGTAAGAAAGGACCAAAATGGCAAGTGTAGGATTGCTTTCGGCCTCATTGCTATTGGAAGGTTGTGGTGAAATGTATTTTTTGATGAAACGTTTAATATCTTTAATGTGGAAATTATTAGAGAGAAGAGCAGAGGTAACTATCTCAGCCCGAGTCACTGAAAACAGAATTAAAGACCTTGCCTCTGCTCTTCTCTCTAATAATTTCCGCATTAAAGATATTAAACGTTCCATCAAAAAATACACTTCACCACAACCTTCCAATAGCAATGAGGCCGAAAGCAATCCTACACTTGCCACTGTGGTCCTTCCTTACATTCAAAACATCACTGACCATATATCAAAAGTTCTAAAGAATTATAACGTCAAAACCAGATTTACCACTTATCCAAAAATCTCTCAACATCTGCGGTCCGTCAAACACAAAATTCCATTTGAGACGCCAGGAGTTTACAGCATTCCATGCACATGCGGTAAAGAATACATCGGAGAGACCGGACGAAAAATATCAACTAGGCTCAAAGAACACGACTAAGACAGGTAAACTCATGAACTGTTGCCGAACACATTCATGAAACCGGGCCTAAAATTTTATTTGATAAAACTAAAATTCTTGCATGTAATCAGTTCTTCTACCAACGAAAAATCCTAGAGTCTATAGAAATCTATAAACAACCTAACAATCTTAATCGCGACTCAGGTCTCTACCTGTCCCCTAATTTGGGAATATAGTCATCCGAGACGGTGTTTATACCCCTCATTAGCGCCCCCCCCCCCTCAAGCAAAATATAAGTAGGTATAGAGTAAAATACGAGCCAGTTTCAGTCAAACTCTGAAGAAGCCAACAGGATGATTGGCGAAACGTTAGCAATTTCGACTAAGCAAAAACCGATGCAGGAGGAATCCAGAAGTTTTGGTTAGTTTTGGTTAGTTTAGGTACACCATTGAAGATGAATATAGATCTCACTGAAATGTCGTGTAGGAGCTACCAAAGTACTTTGCAAAAGCTGCTACAATCATTGCATGGCCTGACCGTTGCTGGGATCCGCGAATCTGCCTTCTTACTATGAATAAATGACCAGAAAGTGGTAGGACTATTATGTCTTAACTCTGCATGACGAACAGAATCGGTATAGGCAATGCGCGACTGAATCTCAATTGCCCAAATAATTAGAAGATTTGTGTTGCTTGAAGTTGCGGAAAGCTCTCTCCTCAAATATATTTCCGATCATTTCTTTGGTGAACCATGATGAAAATCGCCTTCGTCTCAGTGTTTTAATGGGCGTGCAAATGGCAAAAATGTTGTTTAGAATGTCCTAAACAAGTGTTAGAGGTCAATACAGAAACACGAAATTATCTGCTGTCGATTACGATATTTAAGAGCAGCTTCGAAGTAAAAACAGAAATATCTATTATCTGGGCAAATGAAGGATATACCGTTGGCAAGACATGACAGGATAAAAATTTAAAAAGCGCGAGGCAAGCTTTCATTCATTACTCAATTTGATACTAAAAATGGATTTGTCGGGGGTTCAGTTAAAACGGAAAATTTTCATCTAATCAGTTTCTAACACCCTGCTCAAAGTGCTCCATCACGCTGAATATGAATGAATATTCCGTAATAATTCAGCAGGATCATTTCCACTGGCAAAATTGTAAACGATTTGGAACGTCTTTGGGTCTTAAATTCTGTACTTTTAGATAGCGGTAAGGATGTAGGTCATTGGTCATTCTACCAAGCGAACAATTCTTTTACCTCTCTCACAAAACTGGAAAATAATGGCAAAACTTGTCCTTTCCTCATATCAGTAAACTATATATCTGCCAGGGGTCTTAATGATATTTGAGGATTTTCCTCATTTTTCCCTCATCATAATTTTCCATAGGATTTTCTTACCCTCGAGATTTTTTCTGTATGTTAGGAAATACTGAGCGATGTGATTGGTTATCATTGGCATTGAAATAACTGTAAATAAAACGTTCCTGTAAAACCTGTTCGCAATAGAAACAATGTTGTCAATTTTGTTTCAAGACCTACTAAAATTTTCTCTCAATCAGTTTTGGAAAAACTAATAAAAAAAAATCTTCAGGCCAATTCCTATTCCTGCAAATTTTCCCATTAAACTAAACTATAAGGCTGTTTTTTACATAAAAGGAGTTACCCCATTTTTGTTAAGTTTCTTCACAACTACGCATTTCCTGTCAAGTGTTTCTCACTCAACAAGTAGTAAGTGTAATTTTCAAAATTTTACATTGTTTTATTTTTCTTTTATTACCTTAAAAATTCTCTCATGATTCACAATTTAATTACCAGAATGTTTTCTGATTCTTTCGGCAACTTTTAATATATTCATTCCAATATTATATAAATTTATGAAATTCAGTACAGGATTCTAATTAGTTGCATAGGCGGCGCTGCCACATTCAGGACTTTTTCCCTAAGCTGTCAAACTGTTTTTATTTTAAATGTTCCATTTTTGGATTGCTGTTAAAATTCTAAGCATTTTTTATGTTTCATGCTCTATACCCGAATTCAATCATTTCTGTAGTAATGACAAAATAAATGATTTAATAAACTGGAACTTAATTTATTAACGACATAATTATTAATTTTAATGAAGTCAATCGAGAGTCCGACTATTTAAAATAGTTAACCCTGTATACACATATTTTGTAAATTGTTCATTTAGTTATTTATGGTTGTGCCTTTGATCATAGAACCTCATAAAAAAAAGTAAAAAGGTTAGTCCAATTTGTAAAAAAAAGTTTTTCAACTCCGTTCTGTAAAAATTATACACCGATCTAGCGTGCGAAAAAAGTCACTTTACCGCGTGAGTTTCGTGTTCCGAACCACTTCGGGCCAAATAAACTCCGTTTACCACACTTGTTGCATAATATACTATTTTCTGTACTTGTATGATCCACGCGCCTCCAAATTAGTTCTTACCCGATCTTATCATCTGACCGTAGTGTTCTAGTTGTCTCAGTGAAATGCCAGCTGGCGCGTTGCTCAAGATAATAGGAATAGTCGACTGGAAACAGATAGGCTATTAAGAAATGATAATTGTGATTTATTGATGTATCCACCAAATTGAATTGCTCGATGTCATCGCCCACCAATATTTCAAATAACATCGCACAGTTGCATTGAAAGTCTGATTCGTCGTTGCACATCAGATCTCCTAGCAGCGATAACCAACGGGAAGAAGGGAGTTCGTGGATTCCGACAACATCCGCAATGAGCTGGAAGTGATACGGCTCATTAAATTTGTGTTAATAAATGGATAGATAGATACATGGATATATCAATGACTATATTTTAGTAAGATTCAGATTGGAGTCTTTTAAATAAAGAAAATAACAATTGCAATAACATATTGATTGCACTTATATACACAGGTTATTACGATTAAGTTAAAATTTTGTCTATTTTTGTGCTGCTTCTTCAGAAGTCTACCTCCTATTCGCAGTATGCCCATTGTATCCAGGAAAATTGACAAGCAGAGTTGTTGGTTGCGTTTAACAAAATGTCCCAGAATTATAAAGTTCAAACGAACTTAAATTCCCAGTAAGTTTGGATTTTTTGCGGGAAGTTGAAAGCGCAACACAAACGCAAGGATACGGTTGGATGTAATTAAGAAAGAATGATCTTTTAGAAGAGTATCGAGAAAATTACAGGGTAAGTTCCAAACTTGGAAAATTAAGAGTTGACACAATAGGAGTGGTCCGCCATAGTGAGCAATAAATTAGATCCGACGGTAACATGCCCCGTAAGATTGCAACTAAAATAAACAGCACTTGAAAATCCCTTTTAACTTGCATCACCGAAGCAGTGAATTTCATTCATTGGGTATTAGAAGACGGGGTAAATTAAAAGCCGGTGCAGGTGTTTCCCAGTTTAATCTCAACTTCCAAATTTGCTGAATTAAATGTTTGACTAAAAACATAACAGGTGAGAGCATACCAAGAAGATCAAAAATGCGTGCAAGTTAGACTACAGATTTCATTTGGTACATAGTTTACCAGAAAGTTGAACAGAAAATTTAAAGCTATCGGAAGTAGCGTTCCATTGTAAACCTAATATTTCTAGCATAGAGATGTGGAATTAAAACTACGGTTTCGACAGCTAATAAAGGTAATTGATTTAGAATTTTAAAACCGGACTATTTTTTTGAAGTTCAAAACAACCTATTCGCAGTAACTCAACTAATTGGTTGGAATCGTAACTGTCACTTCCGGTTACGATATCATCGTCATATGTACTCGAAGTGAGTGCTTTAACTGTTAACGGGTACGCAGAACCATCGTCTTCAGCCAACTAAAAAAGAAATCGAATAGCTAGATAGGGCGAGCACGCCAGGCCAGAAACCAGTCCTTTGATTCGATATTCCTTAAGTGGTTTAGAAGATGAAAATCTCCAATATAGAGTTGAGGTTGATTGGGTAAGTGACCAAAGCCGTTGAATACTACACAGAGTTTGGTCGTCAAACTCTCGGGTCGTATTACACAATGATAGGGTAGGTAGAAAAATTCTTTACAAATTCTGAAACACATCTCATATGATCAAGGTTTAATTATTCTCCAACAAAATCTCTATATTGATCAAACATTTTTGGGTGATTGATTAGAAAACGTTCGAGGAAGTAAAATCGGTTTAAAGCTAATGAACGAATTCCAGGAAATGCAGGATTGCTATTAATAAAGGGAAGTTTGATAACGAATCGTCCAGAATCATCGCAGGAGATGTGACATAAAGGGACGCAGTCTTCAGTGTGGCAAAACATAGTAGATATCGTAATTTGTGTTAAGCGCCGCGCATGTTTGGTTGACCAGATAAACAACCGTCGACCAAAAGACTACATCAGCAACCAATAAACCATCAACTGGCCCGAAATTGTGAAATTGTTCATTGGCAATGCGAATATTTGAAAAGCGAAGCCTAGTTCCGGCTGATAGTTGGTAAGAAGGCAAATGTTCACATATTTTGTTAACGGTAAGAGCATCTGCATGCAAGATGGGATTGAGCTGTAGAAACGGACGAAATCGTAGATTTACTTCTTCGTTGGTAGTGGTTCTCATGGGTCCTAGGCCCGTAAGATTAACTAAATTATTAGTTGGTATCAGTCCTAGATAGTTAACACACTTTTTTGAAATAAACGAGGACATACTTAATGATTCAAGTAAACAACGTACAGTTTAATACGTTCCCCGATTTTCCAAGATTTCTATGCATGTCATTGAAAGCAACACATTCTTCTTGACGTTGGCAAAGCCGGTATAAAGATAACTCTCACCCATAGAAGCAACACTAGGATTTCTTTGGGGATTATTGTTGTTAGCGGAAGTCAGAAAATTATTAATTGAAAAGCACAAATAGTTGTGATGACGTAATTGTCATTTGTGACAATTCAGACTGACAGTGATGTTCGGTGACTACGACTCAGAGAGTTAATACAAATTTTTATGGATTTGGCAAATTGAGTTTTCTGTAAGAATTCAGGACACTTGAATATTTTATAGGAATTTTAATTGCAAACCGAACAGGCCATATTTTTGGTTGAGTTTGTGTTATAAATATCTTAGCGTTTCGACAAAAATTAGTGATATTTGTAGAAAGGTTTGGTTTCCAAGAAGGCGATGACATTTGAAGAGATTTTGATTTGGGAATTGAAGGTCCACTAATGTTATCAAGTGCTAGACAATTTTTTTTTTGTTTAAAAAATCGGCAAGAATCTTGTAAGTCGGTAGCACGTTAGAATAGTCATATTGAAGTCGTTTTAAGATCCTTTGTACCAAAATAAAATGCCATGGATCGGCAGGTAACCTTAAATTTTGTAAAACAACAACAATTTATCAAATAAGTTTCGTAAATCTGTAGGATTGTCTCCAGTAACATTGGACGCTCGATCTAAATTCTTCCATAAATTGGAAGCGAGCAAACGCGTATTCTTAAATCTTTTGCATAGTATGCTGTAAGCGATATCATAGTTTTTCTCAGTTAACGATACATGTTGAATAACTTGTAGAGCTGAACATTGCAGGTGGTGTTTCAGGTTAGATATTTTCAGAATATTTGGAATGTTTTGATCGCTGTGAACTAGCGCATCAAAAATATCAATAAATCATTGAAAAGTTGCAATTTCACCATTAAAAATTGGTACATTCAAATCCAATCTAGGACTAAAGCGATATTGAGAGTGAGAAACAGGGGAGCACTGAGCAACAGATGATGGTAACTTGTAATAGCAAGTTTTGCTTTGATAATACATTAAATCGCGTTTTTTCTTTACACTATCTTATTTATCTTATTTATTTATGCAATTTACCAACATTGTTCACAGTTTACAGTTTCATAAATATGTTTAAGTTGCTGTTAAGCAGTTTTCAGTAATTTTACTTGGGAATAAAGTTTCAAAAATTATAACAAGAAATTATGAAAATAAATTTAAGGAAATCGTAAATATTGCTACTCGCCAATCAAATATGTGAACACCCTTATGTCCGAACTGTTCCGAACTAACAAATTTAAAGAAAAAAGACCACTTCAACGAAAAATTAGATGGATCGATATATATCAATATTGTTTGTTTCAACAATTTGAATTCATTTCGGAAATTAACTCCGTCGATTTCTATATCGACGTTATTTTGCATAAAATAAAACCGAATCGATATTAAAATTGGGATGTATGTTGACAAAAGTGTTCAATTGTTCAAAAAGTGAAAAACGTTTTAACGTTTTTCGTTAATTTTATTTTTGTATAAAGGAGTTCATATCCGGCTCGTACGGACCAATAAAATGGTGTAACTTCCTTCGATAGCTCAGTAAAGCGACAAAAATGAACTCGCAATAAATAAAAAATTTAAGAAGATGCAAAACGCTTCCTTAATAGTCTTCGGATTAAACGGAGGGAGCGCTTACTTTTTTCTCAGTTTAAGGTTAAAAATTGATGGCTCTGGATAACGGTACTAACACCTATCTCGAACGACGTACGACTTCCGTCCATCGCAAATTTTTGCTCCCGCGTTGATTTGCTTGAGAAAGTTTAAATGGGAACATGTTCGTGTGGTTTTAAATTTAATCAGATCTGAGATATTAAACGTAGTTGAATTAGTTTAGACTAATTTATAAATTTAGAAATAATAGGAAAATAAAATATATACTTTGGACGACACATATATAGTTTGCGGATGGACTAGACTCATTACAAGAATCACAGCTTGTAAAATTAACACTAATAAGAACACAAGATTAAAAATGTTGAAGTGGGGATCTCCTTAAGTAGCTTCAAATAATGCTCTTAGGCGACGAACAGATTTGCGTGTATTAAGAAAAGAGAAGTATCATCCGTAAAAGACTATATTCTCAAAGGACTGAACAAAGTTGGTCCCCACCACAATCTAAATCCATTTTTTCATCGTCAGATATTATTTACTGATAAAGCCGCTTACTGGAGTCCGATATTTACAATTTCTTCAAAATGACTTAATTCCTACTCTCCCAGTTTCCTCCTCAAATACAAATCAGCCTGATATGCCAGATTAGTTTTAACAGTGGATTGCTAAAAGAGGATCAATATAATTTCATGCATGGTCTCCAGCTATTACTCCAATGGATTTTTTCCTCTAGAGATATTTAAAATCAAAGGTGTATAAAGACTTAGATACAAAATTCTTGAAATTGAATACCTGCTTTTTTAATGAATTCGTTCAATATCTTATCCGTTAGCTGTATATCAGAAATAGTATAGGCTCTAGTGCAGAGCAGTGAAGCACATTGCTTCTAATAATTTCGATTTTTCTTTCCCAGGATACTCACGTTTCACAATTTAGTAAACCCAATTTATTATTTCTGATACCGTATCTGAGCTTCCTGATAAATAATTCATTCAATAAACAAGCGGTAATAAATAAAAATCCTTGCACAAACAAACAAATGAAAATAAAAAAATATAAAACCGATCATCTACAATTTTAGAAAAATAAATTGTTTTAGACTTTCAAAATATTGAAAACAAGTTGCTGATATTTAAAAAAGACAGCAAATAAATCAAACTTCACAGTTTAACTGAAATTGATAAAGCCAACCGAGCAGCGGGAATCTATGAGATTAGTAAGTATTACTACATTAGTTGGCGGAAGTTTCTCTCCAGCAGAAAAATGAGATATTTAACTAAAAGAAATCTTATTCCTTAACAAAGCTTATGAAACTGTGTTTAAGTTAAAATAAATAGGAAATAAACA